TGGAAACAGTAGGACAGTGGAGGGTACAGTGGTGGTGGGGACAGTGGTGAAGGCGGTGGCGAGGACGGCGGTGGGACAATGGGAAGAGGTACAGTGGGGACAGTGGTAGGGACAGTGGGGACAGTGGTGGGAACAGTGGGACAGCTCAGTGGTTCGAACCGGTAGTGACCCCCCCCTCCGGTTTTCGAGGGGGGGGGGGGTTCGAACCGGTAGTGACCCCCCCGGTTTTCGAGCTCGAGGGGGGGGGGGGGTTGGGGGAGGGGGGGGGGTTGCCGGGGGAAGGGAGGGGGGGGGAAGGGGTTGGGGGGGGGGGGGGGGGAGGGGGGGGCGGGGGGGGAGGGTTCCAGCAGGGGGGGGGGGGGGGGGGATGTTCGGAGGGGGGGGGGGGGGGGGGGGCGGGTTCCGGAGGAAAAGGGCGGCAATTTTCCACAGTAAAGTGGCGGTGGATCACGCTCTCTCCTACGATGACTACTATCCTGGATGCATATCATCAGTGCTGGATGCAGTTTGGACCAGCTAAGGTACTTTACACGGATGGAGAAGGTGCTCTTAATAATGACACTGCGAAGGCAGTCCTCAAGGCCAAAGGCACTGAACTTAGAATACGCGCGCGTGGACAGCACGCTACGACGATCGTGGCCAGAAATGGCATCCTACGTCATCTACTTCACGTAATGGAGGCTGACCTCAATAGGTTAGACATACCTCTTGTGTTCACTAGACTACTGCATGAAGCCTCTCTTTCTGCCAACGCATTCACTTTCTACAACGTGGTGTCTCCATGCAATGCGCTATTTGGACGGCAACCAGCAACGCTCCCTGACCTCCCTGTTCTGGACCACGAGCAGTCGACAGAACCATCATATCATTCTCGTGAACAGACAATACGCAGGGTACGCAATGAGGCGATCACACAGGCCGCGGCAGTAGCTAAGACCAATCGTGCTCTACGCACTAAAAAGACAATTACAGGTCAGCATTATTTTGACGAAGGAGATGTTGTTGACTACCATCGCCCTACGACTACTAAAGATCACTGGGGAGGCTGGAATGGCCCGCTCCCAGTTGCGAGGAATGACCCCGAAAGGAATCAGGTCATCATCCGAGAAGGCAACCGAGATGTTCAAGTACAATACGGCGATGCAAGACACCCGCTCTACATTGAAGCACTCATAGCCCGAGAGATTGGCTCCGACAACACTGCACTACGCACAGCGTTGACATTCGTAGCTCGCCTTTTTTTTCAGCGGGGGGACCTGCGTTGACATGTGGCTATGTGCCGAGCAAGAAAGGTACGTTTCATATGACAACGGCAAGTCGCCGATCTCCAAAGGTACACGTGGCCGTGCAATATCGCACCAGAAACTTCTTCCGCATCGAGAATGTTGTTTCGGTCAGATTAGCCAAGAGTATTCATAAGCTACCCCCGGTTACTTATGCTGACAGTTGCACATTGGTTCATTACGATAACGACGTGAATCCAGGATTCCATTACTCTGAAGCCGAAGGTACTGCTCTGAATTTACATGATATAATTGGATCAGCACATTCACGAATCATCCAATGCCTGAAGTCCACCAAACCTCAGGCAGGCTTCGATCAGGACATGTCAAAGTTCGAGGACGTGGCTGATGCGCCGACACCTGAGGGAGCCGCTAGAGAGGCTTCAGAAGCCGAGCCAGAACATGATGACGGACGGCTGTCTACGATCCACGAAGAATCAGAAGCTGATCTTGAGTCACATGTCATGGAGGCATGGCACGCAGAGTTGCGAGGGGAAAAGGGATTGCTGGAGGCAGCTCCACTAGAAGATCTCTTTACCGTACCCACACAGATGGTTCCTGATCAGAGTGCGTTGATTACTGTAGCTGATGAGCAGCGGGGACACCTGCCGAAGTGGGGGCGCACTCATGAACCTGGTACCGAGGAAACGTACTGCGCTCCCTTGCGCACCATGGTCGAAGACGACAGCAACGGACTCGATTCTGACGACAACGGCCCATACGTTGAGCCCTTCTTTACAACAGAGATGTCACATGTAGTCTTGTCCGAGCAGCAACGCATGCTGGAAGACGCCGGCCGGGTGAGCGCCATGCGAGTATATGTTGCTGCCGCTGCAAAGAGAGCTGTGGTTGTCGAGGAAAAGGACCTCCTCACTAAGGCTGACATCCAGGCGAATCCCGAGAAGATACCGAAGGCCCTTTTGACCGAGCTCAAGACACGGTTCGACAATGAATGCATCAAAATGCAGGAGATCGCCAAAGCGTCGAACATCCTGACTTCGAGATATGTATACACATGGAAAATCCGTTAACAACGACAAGGGTGAAAGTGAACGCGCCATCCGACTTCGCCCGGTACTTCGAGGCTTCATGGGCCCAGAAGTTTTCGATGTAGAAACATGTTCGGGGACAGCCAGCAGGTGAAGCCAGAGGTCACTTGCCGGCGCGGCAGCGTGCGAGAAACAGTGGATCATTGCTTCCCTGGACATCAACATGGCCTTCCTAAAGGGATTGGCTTATCGAGAGCCCGCCGAGGCAACTGGTGAAAAGGAACGCGTGGCGTGCTTTACTTTGCCGCCTGGGTCGGCAACTGCGCTCCGTACTCTTCCAGGATTTGAGAACTACGTCGAGTCAGAGCACTGTCTGCAGTGCTTGAAACCGGGCACAGGCACTAGGGACGCCCCACGGGCTTTCTCACTTAAGCTTAGGAGAGCCACCAGAGGATTTGGCCTCCGACCTACGTCCTACGACAAGGAGTTCGAGACGAGCAGTAATTTGCTCACGGCAAACCATGTTGATGACATAAACATGGCCGGTACTTAGGACGCCACTGGCAAGTATGTCAAATGTGTGGAGGAAACCATTGGTAAGTGTAAACTCAACAGGCACACATATACGAACTGTGCTGCGAGGTACACCAATGATGAGGACGGCAATGCCACTTTGGATCAAGATGAATACATTAAGCAGCTCCGTCTTATACAACATCCTGAATTGACCGGCGCTGACGCTGACGCTCAAGCGACCAAGATGGTGGCAGATATGTTCGTCGGCCTCAGAGGTGCGCTGGCATACGCATTGATCATCCAGATCTGGTTGATGGTCTATGTTGCATCCCTCCAACGTGTCCAAGAACCGACCAATATTCAAGTTCGACGATTGAACGCGATCACCAGAAAGCTACCGGCCTGCCCGAAGAAGATGGCCTACCAAGCGATGAACCCCACGGGCGAGGTCGACCTACATAGCGACTCAGGCTACCGACGACTGAGTGGAGACGCCGATGGCGACGTCGAAGGCTATGGCATTCGCGGGGCAAACCTGCTACGACGTGGAAGCACGTCATCTGGCAAGCCTGTCGTTCACTTGATTGATGCGTTCTGCAAGTCTCACCGCTTGCAAGTCCGCTCAAGCTACTCAGCAGAGCCACTTGCAGCAGCCCATAGTTTTGAGGACTGTTATCCCACGATTGTGACTCTGCACGAGCTCCATGCGGGGCCACTCACACCCACTTAGTTGAAAGACATACTTGAGTTGGGCGGCTGTCTTTAAGTCCTTGTCAAGCAAAGACGTGAAGAAGCCGACTGAGTGTACCCTTTTAGGGCACATAAGTTGGATGCGACAGATGATGGAGCGCGGGATCGTGCATAGCATTCAGTGGTGTGATACCCGTGATATGACTGCGGATGGACACACAAAAGGGAGCATTGACAGAGAAATGCTCCTACAAGTCATGGGAGGTATACAGACCTTCGAACATGACCTGAAGAGACATACGCCACATCGGGTCGGTCAGACATCAAGGTCTGACGCCGCCTGATGCGTATGCCCTACATTCGAAAGGCAACTCGCTGACGGGTCCAACTCCTTTGGGTCCGTCTCCTTTCCTGACTTCGTATAGGTTAGCTGCTGAACTGTTCTCGCGATATGGGTGGTGGACGCACGCTTCGTCTCCCTCCCCCGCCGACACTAGAGCGAACTGGGGGGCGTAAGGAGCGGAAGCGAGCGTGCGCCCGCGGCCGTCTTGGCTCACAGCAGCCGGCCGCCTAGATATGACTGTGCTTCACCGCGAGGCACACTATCGCTATCGAGACTCAAAGGCATCCCCTTTTACTTGGCATGGCATCCCCTCTTGCATTGGGACTATCGCTACTACGATACAGCCGAGCTGGAGCTTGGCTTCGCCTGAGGCGAAGCTGTTGGCGGGGCCTCCCGGCCCCCTTCAAACTCCTTTCCCTACTGATTTCGCTCCTGCCTTTCTGATTCGATCGTGCGGCTTCTCCCTTGTTCTGGTCTGCCGTGCTCCTCTCCAGTAGCACGCTGCTCATCTGACCTTGGCAGCCCAACGCCGCAGACCAGAAACGAACCGGGGCGCGGCAGACCAGTATGCTCTTCTGGCGCTCGCCCTGCGCAGGTCCTCTCCCTCCCCCCCCTTCCACTCCTCCTCCTCCTCCTCCTTCTCCTCTTCCTCCTCCTCCTCCTCCTCCTCTTCCTCCTCCTCCTCCTCTCCCTCGTCCTCTTATTCATCCTTCATCTCTGCATTTTCTTCCTCCTCTTCCTTTCTTAACATCATGGCTTAGGCGCGAGGGGGGGGCGCCTTGCGGCGTGGACCCCCCAGAAACGGGCAGGTGGACCCCTTCCCAGTCACCAGAAATGAGCGAGCCTGGCACGTTCGGAGGATGCCCGGGCTCTCAAGATTGTCCCGAGAGGCTTCGAAGAGGGTCCAAGAGGCTGCCAAGGCGGCTCAAGCCTGCTCCCAGACCCCCAAGATGGCTTCAAGACGGCCTATCTCTGAAGGGGACTGCAGGGGGGTAGCAGAAAGATCTCGCTAATCCACCTAGGCCCCAAGGGCTGGTGGGATCACACAACTGATCGCGTTCCTTGTCATGGCGTCGTCGGCACATTGCTCTGGCCTCTTGGCGCAGCTGGGTTGGGTGCGTCGCAGGGTAATGTTCATGCCTTTTGTTCTTCCTCCATTCTCGCCCTCTTCTTCCCGAGGCCTCCCGGAAGGACTTCACCAGTAACGGCGGCGTCATAACTTGCCTCATCGAGAAGCGCAAGCAGATCGAGGACCAGGAGTGTGGGAATGCTGTCGACCGCAAGCATGCGGAGCGCGTGGCGGATGCCAGCCTGGATCCCGACCACGAGGCCGCGGAGGAGGAGGAGGAGGAGGAGGAGGAGGAGGAGGAGGAGGAGGAGGAGCGAGGAGGAGGAGGAGGAGGAGGAGGAGGAGGAGGAGGAGGAGGAGGAGGAGGAGGGGAGGAAGAAGAGAGGAATATGAGGCGACGGAGAAACAAAAGGAGGGGGAGTTTGTGGAGCGGGAGGAGGGGAGGGAAGAGGAGGAGGAAGAGGAGGAGGAGGAGAAGAAGGAGGAGAAGGAGGAGGATAAGGAGGAGGAAAAGGAGGAGGAGGAGGAGGAGGAGGAGGAGGAGGATGAGTCGGGGGGCAGGGAGGGAGGGAGGGATGAGAATGAGGAGGAGGAGGAGGAGGAGGAGGAGGAGGAGAATGATGAGGAGGATGAGGAGGAGCATGATCAATAGAAGAACGAAGGAGGGAATGGAGGAGAAGGCTGACGGAGGGGGATGAGGAGGGGGAGGGGGACGGGGAGGAATGGGAGGTGGATGAGGAGGAGGAGGAGGAGGAGGAGGAGGAGGAGGAGGAAGAGGAGGAGGGAAGGACGCGTGCAGAAATGACATCGAGCGGTTCTGCAATGAGGCGAAGAAATCAGCGCTGCACTCGAGGGGCACCAGCGGAGTGGTGCACAGGTGCCTGCAAGAGCACATCGACGATCTCTCGGATGATTGCGCCCAGAAGGAGAAACAGTATATGGTCGCCGCATCGGAGAATACTCGGCTAAACCTCGAGGTCGATCAACATTGCAAGCAGGCGAAGACACGATGGTGCGAAGGCACACCTGACGAAGAAGGTAGTCTGACCATGTGCTTGTTGCAGCACATGCACGACGACAACATGGAACCTCCTTGCCGTACTGCGCTGGAGGGCGAGCAGAAGAAGGCAGCCAGCTCGCTCCGGTACAATCCGCAGCTCAGGAAGATGTGCTCTAGCGAGTTGACGAGGTTCAGAAAGGAGGGCAAGTGTTCCAAGAAAGGGAAAAAGGGTGGGTGGGTAGACTGTATCCAGCTGCCTGCGGCAAGTCCCGCCACCGTGCCAGTCCAGCATTGGGTGTCGACCGTTCGAGGAGCGCACAGGAAGCCGTACTGTGTGACGTCTCATGCCCTGAGGCTTGGGAGAGCCATCAGATGTGATACACTCTTCCGCGTCGAGTCGAGGTGTCTCTCCTGGTGTTCGTCGTCGTCTTCCTCCCTCCCCCTTCCTCTTCTTCCCTCCCCCTCTCTCGGGGCCTCAGGGGGGCCACTTGGAGGCCCTCTTGGGGGCTCTTGGGCGCTCCTTGGGCTGCCTTAGGACGCTCTTGGGCCCTCTGGCGCCTCCGCGTGCCGTCTTCGGGGCCTCTTTTGGACGTCTGGGGGCCCTTGGGGGGCAGCGAGGGGTCGTCTTGGGGGTCTCTCGGGTCATCTTGGGGCCTCCTTGGCTTGTCTTGGAGGCCTCCTGGGCCCTCTTGCGGGCCTCCCAGGCCGTCTTGAGGCACTCTTGGGGGCTGCTTGTGTCGCCTGGGGGCTATGCTGGAGGCCTCTCTGTCCGTCTTGAGCTCAAGCAAGACCCGCAAGGCGAGAACGCGAAAATCGCTTACGCAAGGCAGACATGCATAATAACATCAACGGTTTGAACCTCTGCGGGGCCTCCTGGGTGTCCTCTCGGAGCCCTCTTGCACAGTCTTGGGGGGTCTCTTGGGTTGTCTTGGAGTCATCTTGGGGCCTTCTTGGGCCCGGCGACGACGACGACGGCGGCGACGACGACGACGACTGGGTGCACCTTCGGCCATCTTGGCGGCCTCGGTGGTCTGTCTCGGCCGTATGGGAAGCCCAGCTGGGCTTCTTGGACCTCGGGAGCCTCGGAGGGCAGAGGCGCCCGGGGCGCCGCTGCAAGCCTTGGCTGGGGAGAGGGGAGCGGTATTTGCAGCGAAGCGGCACTGGGAAGACGGAGGGGGTCCCTGAGAAACAATACATCGGCACTATCGAAATTTGTACATGAAGAATCGGAACGGTGCCCAACAGCAGTTTCCGTCTTGTTGCTCTGGACTCGCTGTCCGCGCCGCCGCGGACCCGGACGTTGTCCCTTTGAGACAGAAGGCCGGTTGCGACAACATCTGCTGCTGGGCATCGTATCCATTTTTCCGTACCCATTACGGGTGTCCGAAAGAAGCCCTGGCAGACAGCCCTTGGCATTCTACCGCGCCTCAACGCGCCAGGGGGCACGGTGGCGGATCACAGACAACGTGGAGGACGTCCACGACCCGGACTGCAGGGGAGCCGTGCTCAAGGTGATGCAGCTGCACAGCGCAGACCTCCGCGCCAAGCCGGGGATGCACGAGGCCTGCAAAGAGGATCTGGAGAGGCTGTGCTCCAAGATGGCGCCGGGCGCGGGCCGTCTGCACCAGTGCCTGCGGGAGAGGTTCGACGACATCCGGAGCCAGGAGTGCAAGACACTAGTGCGGACGGTCCAGAAGGCCGACAACAAGAGTGCCACCCTGAACTTCGCCACCCGGAAGCACTGCCAAAAGGAGGTATCGGACGGGGCTGGGACGAGGATCGGGAGCGACAAAGAGGGGGGTGATGACTAGGGGGGGTGGATATCATGGCGTGGGCCATGATATTTTCCCAGATTTCATGGCGCCTCTTCTCATTTCATTACGTCCCTGGCCCCCCCCGCTGGGCCGCGCACATGCCGCCAGTCATGATTTGCACCCCCCCTCTTGGACTCTTGGACACCCCCCTCTTGGCCGCTCCCGAAAGGACAAGTCCGTTCCAGAGCGTTCCGCAACGCTCCCAGAGCGTTCCGCAACGCTCTCTGAGGAGGCCACGGCACCCGAGACATCTTCCAGAGCCGCCAGATTTCAGAGGTTTCCGATTTATCCTTACCCAATGGCGAGGGTCTTACGGCCGGTGCCACCGACCCAGAAGGGGAACGACGACAACGGCGGCGGCGGCGGTGACGAAAACGACACTGACGTGGGTCAGAGTCCTCATGGATGCCTCTTGGGGTCTCTTCGAAGCGCTCTCGGGAGCCTCTTGGGGGCCTCTTGGGAGCCTCTTGGGGGCCTCTCGGGGCTTCCTGGGGGCCTCTTGGGGGCCTCTTGGGGCCTCTTTGGGGGCCTCTTGGTGTCTCCTGGGAGCTTCTCGTTGCCGAAGGCTAGACATGTCCGTCCTGGTCCCTCGTCTGGGCGCCCTCTTGGAGCCGTCTTGGGGGCCTTCTTGGGCCGTCTTGGAGGCGTCGGCCGTCGGGCCCTCTTGGGCCGTGTTGGGTCCCTCCCGGAGCCCTCGCGGGCCGTCTTGGAGCGATCTGGGGGGCCTCTCGGGCCGTCTTGGAGCGTCGTGAAGCGGAGGAGGCGAGCACGCCCGCCGAAATGCATCAAGCTTGGTGCCTTCTTGGGAGTGCGGGAGCGCTGACTGGAGGCCTCTTGGGGCGTCTTGCAGGGGCTCTTGGGCCGTCTGGGGGCCGTCAAGGCGATCGTTCGGCGATTCGGGGCCCTCTTGGACCGTCTTGAGGGCCTCTTGGGGTACTTTGACTTGGGCCCTGGGGCCCCCTGGGAGGGGTTCGCATCTGACCCGGGACTCCCCCCGGGGACATCCCCGCGCGACCCCCCCCGGGACCCCCCCCCCTCGCAGCGGGGGAGGGATCAAAGGGAAGCGGCTGCCCTTAGAGTCAATTGCGACGTTGCTCCAGTTCGCTTTGGCTGGCGCGCTTGATGAGGAGGGCCTAGGGAAAAGGGTGGGGGAGCGGCGACGGGCCCAGCGATTGAGGAGGAGGGCCCCGGGGAATGGGGGGAGCGGCGACGGGCCCAGGGAAAGGGGGGGCGCAGGGAAAGGGGATGACAGAGACGACGACTAACGAATGACGCAGACGACGACTCGAACGGACAAGCCCCTCACACACGCCGACAGGGTCGGCGGATTTTATCTTCGTCCCTGCTTCATCTCAAGGTAAGGACCTTCTGCTCGGACGTGCAGTCGGGGGAGTCCAGGATCATGACGTGTCTAGGGCTCCACATGAACGAGACAGGATCGGGCGGATGGCAACCGGAGGGGCAAGGGTTAGCAATTGGCGGGGGGGCGGGGGGGGGGGAAGGTGCATTATGCCAACACCTTTTGACGCGGGTGGTAGTTTAGTGTCGGGCGCACGCTAACATGGATTAGTAATATGTTGACCTGGCGCGGGGAAGATACCTCCAACACATGAGGTCAATGCCGCCTCATCTGGCGACGGATAATGCCGATTCTATACGGAAGCTGGACCCGTCGCTAATCCACGCGTCGCTAATCCATGTTTGCGATTCCCTGATGGTGTCCTTTCTCAGGGCCACTTTGGGGACACTTCCGCCCCCCTTGATCGTCCGCCTGGCAGGGTTCGGTGAGCAGTGCAGGCAGGCGATTTCCAAAAACGTCAACGTCAAGAGCTTCGTCAAGACCTCGCTGCTCCGCGGCGCCAACGGAGCTTGGGGGCAATTCAAGACCAAAGCTGCAACGAGATTCGGCTTCTTCTTCTCTTTTTCCTCTCGCGGCTCATTGTTCTCCTCCTGCATCTCCATCCCGAACATGCCTGGAGGCCTCCAGAGGTGTCCAGATACCCCAAGAGGGTTGCCGAAGCTTCCACAAGATCCACAGAGTGCCAAGTTCGTGGAGGGACTGGATCCTCGATCCTTTCCAGCCCTCCTCTCGTGGCCCCTCCTCCTTTCCCTCCCCCCGAAGTCCCAGCAAGGGGGGACGGGGTGGCGATCGCCCCGCACGGACGGGGCGTGACGCTTCTCGGGTGCCCCCCGCGGAGGAGTCGTGGAGAAGAAGATGGACGAGATCAAGAGCTGGATAGAGAGCCACAGGATCGGATGCCGACGGAAGTGCGCTCCCTCTTGGCAGGAGGGAGGGGGGAGGGGGAGGAGAGGGGAGGAGGGAGGTCAAGAGCTGGATAGAGAGCCACAGGATCGGATGCCGACGGAAGTGCGCTCCCTCTTGGCAGGAGGGAGGGGGGAGGGGGAGGAGAGGGGAGGAGGGAGGAGTGGGGAGGAGGAGGGAGGAGGAGAGGGAGAAGGAAGGGGGATGAGGAGGGACAGAAGGAGCATCAGCGATGCTGCAATGGCCCTCCCGTCCTGAGTCCCCCTCTTCTCACCAGAAGACGCGCCCCCCCCCTTGAAAGACCAGCGCCACATGGGCTTGCCGCTTTGTCGAGGGCCTCGTGCTGAAGAGGAACCGCCGTAAACCCTTCTGGCGCATACTCTCTCACATGCCGGACGCCCGGCCCTGGAGCCCTCAGGGCCGAATACCACCAGTGGCACCTGGTCTACGCTACGTGCCCAGGGCCTCCCCGAGCTTCTCCGACCCCCCTCGGATCTTCCGGGCAGGTGCCAGACGGGCCAACGTGGCTTCGGACGGCCCCAGATGGCTCCGAGACGGGCCAGGAGCTAGGCCCCCAAGACGCCCCAAGACGGCCCCAAGACGGCTCCAAGAGGACCCACAAGAGGGCTCGAAGAGGCAAACATCGCCCCATTTCGAAAATGCACATCTCTAGAACATTCGCTGTTTCCATGTGCGCTGCGTCCAAGACGGCCCCAGAGGCCCCCAGGAGAGCCCCACAACGGCCCAAGAGGTTCCCCAGTGGGCCCCGAGATGGCCCAAAGACGGCCAAGAGGCACCCAGGACCGCCCAGAGCGGCTCCAAGAGGGCCCACAGAGGGGCCCCTGGGGGGGGAATTCGAACCCACATGTCGAGGCCTCCGCCCCAAAAGAGGACCCCGACGCGACTCCCGGCGAGCCCCCAAAGGATCCCCCCGAGAGGACCCAAGAGGGCCAAAAGAGGCCCCGAAAGGCGCCCTATGAGGCTTCAAAAAGGCATCCAGGAGGCTTCCCAGAGGCTTTCGCATAGACCCGAACAGGCATTCAAGAGGTCTCAGGCGGCCCCAGTCGAGACTACAAGATACTCGTTGCGCGCCTCAAATCGACGACACAGGAATGCAACCACTCTCCCCCTTACTCGTCCCCCTCCTCCCCCTCCTCCTCCCCCTCCTCCTCAGCAGCAGCAGCATCATCATTAGCATCAGCATCAGTATCAGCATCACCATGATCATCCTCCTCTTTCTCCCCCTCCTCCTCCCCCTCCCCCCTCCTCCTCCTCCCCCTCCCCTCCTCCTCCCCCTCCTCCTCCTCTCCTCCTCCTCCTCTCCTCCTCCTCTCCTCTCTATCCTTACGCCTTCTACCCATCAACACCCTGTCTCTCTCTCTCTCTCAGCTCGCATCCTACCTCATGCCAATCCTGCCCGCGCCTCCCCCTCCCTCCAGCCCCACTCCCGCACTCCACGTGTGCAGCTTTCTCCCCGTTCCCGCACCTCTCTCCCGCTGCCTCCCTCTCTGGCCTCCCGCCCTCTGCCCTGCACACTGTGCTCCTGGCCCCCTCCGTCCTCCTCCCGTCCTCGGGTGATCCCCCCCTTCGCCCCTCCCTCCTTCCGCCCTGCCCCTCCCCGTCTCTCTCCTTTTCACTATCCCCCTGTCCTCCCTCTGACCTCCTCCTCCTCCTCCGTCTCCTCCTTTTACATCTCTCTTTACGCCCGCCTCCTCCCTCCCACGTCCCTGTTCCCAACACCCTCCTCCGTCGTTAGCTTCCGCCTGTGCCGGCTGTCCTCCACCTTACTCGTCCTGCCACCTACCGCCTCTATCTTGCCTCCTGGTACCACCATCTTCCATTCATATACCGGAAGCCCAGCCCAGGGGCCCCAGGCAGCAGCACACAGAGGGCACCCGGGGTCCCCTGAGTGGTGCCTCTCCTCTGGGAGCCTCCCCAGAGCCTTCCCCGAGCTCCGCCGGGAGGCTGCCTGAGCTGAGCAGGAGTTCTCAGAGAGCCCCACGACGGTCCCAGGAGGCCCTCAGGTTGTCCCAGGAAGTCTGCCGCCAGAGTGCCCGCACGGGACTCCCAAGAGGGCCAGAACAGTCAAAAATCAAGAAGAATCCCAACGTGCTTTCTTTTCTTTTCTGAAGTTTCCCTTGGTTGCCAACGCGTGGCTTCACGATCTCCTCGGAGGCTCAAATGGTTCCGAAGAGAGTTGCTAGATTTCCTGAGGATAGCCCAGGACTGTCGCGAATACACACCTTCAAGGCGACTTCAGACACCAAGGCGTACATTTCCAGGCAAAGGACACGATCATCCGGACAAGGCCCCTGTGACGCGCCATACCCTTGGCCTTATGGCAAGTAGAACTTGAGCGCGCGAAGCGCGCGCGATGGTTCTAGTGAAATATGCGGAAGACTATGGTCATACAGTTTGGCGAGATTTCCAGCAAGACCACCATTTCGAAAAATGACACACACCCATCCGTGCAGCTGCTGCGCAAGCTTGCACTGTTGTCCATGCACTGCGAGGAGGTTTCCCGCGAGAGCTCCCTTTTGGCAAAAGGGGCCGCCCTCGGTGCGTGCAACGCTGCACCCGCTGAAGTTTTGGATGCTTTCATTTGGGAAGAGCTAAACAGGGGTGGACCTAAACGGTGTTTTGGCGATTTCGTGGGCCGTCTTCGTTTCGATTTCGTTCTACGTTGAAGGCAGGTTGAGGACACAACGAGGGACAACGAAGACAAAACGAAAACGACAAACACCGTTTAGGTTCAGCCCTGGTGCTAAAGCTGGAGCCCCATGCTGAACAATGCCGCCCTCCATCGTTCCTAACGGCTGCGTCGCTCTTGCACGGCTCTGTGCGCGGCGCTGGGGCGGGAGCCCTATTTCGAAAGCGCCCTGGCTCCATCCGTGTGAGTATCGGACGTGTTTGAGCCGAGTTTGTGCGTGGTGCCGAGGCTAGAGGCCTTGTTCGAAAACGACCCGCGCTCCATCCTTGCAACTGTCGCGAGTGTTTTTTTGTTATGTCTCTCTCTCTCTCTGTCTCCCTGCCTTTCTCTCTCTCTCTCTCTAATTTCTCCTTCTCCTCCCCCTCCTGGCTGCCGCTGGAAATTGCCGATTGGCCGATTGGGCTATTGGGCTCCCGCCCAGAACGCCTTGCTCTCTTTCCCCGGCCCGCGTCCTCCTCCGCTTTGCTCCTCTCTCCTGTTGCGCACATTATCGACGGCACGCTTCGAGAGGAGCCTCCGGCATCAGGCTTGCTAAGCGCGGCCGTGTGCGTGCGCATGTAAGGACAGTGTGTAGTGGCAGTGCATGTCCTGTCATTGTGCCAGCAGCGACGCGATAGCACACTGTGGGGGCTATGTCTCATGGAAAACATACTGCACGTGTTTACAGCGAATATGCGCGACGCTTAGGCGAGCGCCCCACTTTGAAACGGAGCCGCATTCCTCCTTTGAAACGAATGTAAACGTATAGACGAAGGTGCGCGGGGTACAGGCGAGGACATCATTTTTGAAAAAGATCTGCAATGCATCCGTGCAATTGTTGCAGCATTCCAGACGTATGTGCGCGGCGCCGAGGCGAGAGTCACAGTTTGAAAACGACCCCTCTCCATCGTTAAAGCTGTCGCAAATGTTTGAGGTAAATGTGCGCGGCGCTAAGGCGAGAATAGCATGTGTAAAAGGAGCCGCCCCCCATGTTCGAAGAAGTTGCAAACACTTGAGACTAATGCTCGCGGTGCTAAGGCGAGAGTTCCAGTTTGAAACGACCAGCGCTCCATCCTTGTGACTGGTGCAGATGTTTGAGACGAGTGTGCGCGGGGCTAATTTTGAAAAGACCATGTTTCATCATCGTAAGGTGCGAATGTGCGCGGCGCTATGGTGAGAGCCACAGTTTGAAATCGTCCCGCCCTACATCCTTGCATGGGGGCCGCGGGGAATCGAGCGACGAGTGATGATGATGAGGATGAGGAGGAGAAGGACACCCACTGACAGACAGCAGCGCAAACAGCCCGAGCCCAGATGATTATGCTGATGATGCTGCTGCTGATGATGCTGAAGATGATGATGGTGGTAGTTGTGATGTTGATGAGGAGGAGGGGAATGGGGAGGATGAGGATGATGATGCTGATGCTGATGATGACGATGATCATGATCATGATGAGGATAATGATGCTGATGGTGATGATGCTGATGACGATGCTGATCATGATGATGATAATGATGTTGGTGCTGATCATGATCATGATCAATATGATGATGATCTTAATGTTGATGACGCTGATGGTGGTTGTGCTGTTGATGGTGATGATGATGCTGATGATGATGATGACGATGGTGGTGATGATGCTGCTGATGAGGGTGATGATGGAATCGATGATCATGCTGCTGACGATGATGAGGATGACGATGACGACGATGATGATGCTGATGATGATTTTCATGATAGTGAATATGATGATGGTGATGATGATGATGAGTGATGAACGGTGATATTGCAGAGGATGATGATGCGGATGATGCTGATCATCATCATCATGCTGA